TCCGAACGCCCGTCTACTCCCGAGTGTATTTTACCCGAGACCATATTTGTTTCAACACTCACATGGGAGATCGAAGCGAAGGTCAAGAGGGCCTTAGAAGGGGTAACGCCTCCGCCCGGTTGTCCACCGAATCGTTTGTTTGTGCCGGAGGGATTACGGTCGGACGTTATCCAGTGGGGTCACAGTTCCAACGTAGCTTGTCATCCAGGAGTTTATCGCACTGGTTTTTCAGTCAAGCAACGGTTTTGGTGGCCACGTATGGCTCGCGACATTCACGATTTTGTTTTGGCTTGCTCAGTTTGTGCCATTGGTAAGTCTTCCAATCGACCTCCAGATGGGTTACTTCAGCCGCTGCCGGTGCCTTCGAGACCCTGGTCCCATATCGCTCTAGATTGCATTACCGCCCTCCCACCCTCTCAGGGTAACACAGTGATTTTAACTGTGGTGGACCGATTCTCGAAGGCAGCACATTTCATCCCCTTACCCAAATTACCTTCAGCTAAGGAGACAGCGGTAACTATCGTAGATCACGTCTTTCGGTTACATGGCCTCCCGATAGACGTGGTTTCCGACAGGCGTCCCCAATTTGTGTCCAAATTTTGGCGAGAATTTTGTAAATTACTGGGGGCGACTGTTAGTTTGTCCTCTGGGTTTCACCCCCAGAGCAATGGTCAAACTGAGAGAGCCAACCAAGATTTGGAAAGAACGTTGCGATGTATGGTTTCCAAGAACCCTTCCTCTTGGAGTCAGCAACTGTCAATGGTGGAGTACGCCCACAATACGTTACCAGTGTCATCTACGGGCCTATCTCCGTTTGAGTGTAGTGTAGGTTACCAGCCACCAATTTTTCCTAGTCTGGAATCCGAAGTCGCGGCCCCCTCCGCTCACGCCTTTATCCAGAGGTGTCAGCGCACTTGGACTAGAGCCCGTGAGACTCTACTCCAAGTGGGAGCTCGCACCAAGGCCAAGGCCGATCGCCACCGGCGGAGGCCTCCCGTATACGTCGTCGGTTCCAAAGTGTGGCTTTCTACCAAGAACATTCCTCTCCGATCCGTCTCGAATAAACTTGCTCCGAAATTTATTGGCCCGTTTGCTGTTACCAAGATTGTTAGTCCGGTGGCAGTCCGCCTCAAACTTCCTCTTGCGTACAAGAGAATTCATCCCGTGTTCCATGTATCCAAAGTCAAACCCGTGTTTTATGCTCGCATTAATCCGCCAGTCCCGGTTCCCCCACCGCCGCGACTCGTAGATGGGGAACCATCCTATTCGGTCAATCGCATCCTGGACTCTAGACGGAGGGGACGCGGATTCCAGTACTTGGTGGACTGGGAAGGTTACGGTCTGGAGGAGAGAAGTTGGGTTCCTGCTAGAGACATTCTGGATCACTCTCTTATCGATGATTACAATCGACAGGTAAGGGAGTCTGAGAACGCCAGGAGGCGTTCTTAGGAGGAGGGGTACTGTCACGGTAGACGTTTTCTCTGTTCCTTCTTGTCTCGTGTTTATGTTGTTGTATGAACGCACGTGTGTGAGGGGCGTGTCTGTATGGCATTACCTGATCCGCTCCAGCTGTTCATCATCACATCACCAGCTGCAGTTGATCATCGCCACACTATTTATACTCACTGCTGTTCTCTCATCCTTGTCAGATCGTTGTTTGGTGTGTCCTTGTCTGGTTATCCTGTTCCTGATCGTCTCGTGTTCCGTGGAGTGTTTATCGTGCTTGGAGTGTGTTCTTCGTTCACCTGGGATTCTTCGCACCGTTTGTCTTCACTCATCGGGTTGACCATCCAGTCCCTGCGTCACCGTGTATTCTGGCTACTGCCTTGGACTGAGTTTATTAAAAGTATCTTTCACTCGCATTTGCTTCCTGTGATCTATTGCACCATGACAGCGGGTAATTCACGTGCGCTATATTGTACAGCAGCAGCATGTCTTGCTCACAGCAGAGTGTCGTGTATGTATTGGCAGTAGCAAGTCCCGTACTTGCTCTGCCGCAGCAGCATAGCAGATCTATTCTGCCAAGACCAAACAACATTGTCATACCCATTACCATGCCAATCACTCTGAGAGTTGTGATGACAGAACTTTGTTCATATTAAAATCTCTGGGGGGTAAAAAAAATCACTCCAATGTCTAAAAACTGCACAAATAGTGGCATGTCAGTTGTGCATCAGTAAAACGTCAAAAATGTATTGTCAGAAAATCAACCCGATCTCGTGTACTATTTTAGGAGGTGACCATTTCATATTAGGCTAATTCATACAAAGTTATTTGCATGGAAACATACACTGTAAAAAAATTGCTGTAGTTATGCAGCTGTTTGCCAGTAACTTACTGTAGATTTAAATTGATGTATATATTTACTGGCAACAGTTTGTTCAAAGTTAAATGAACATTAAACATTAACAAGTCTTTATCTTTACAGAATAAAACTAAAATAACAATCTAATGCAAAGCATTAATCTTTATCAACCTTTTTCTGTTTTTTTTTCCTTCAGATTTTGGTTCCCAGAATGCTTTGCATGAGGCTGTTATTTTAGTTTTATTCTGTAAAGATAAAGACTTGTTAATGTTTAATGTTCATTTAACTTTGAACAAACTGTTGCCAGTAAATAACCTCAATTTATTCTCTCTATCCAGCAGCCATATCACCCTGTAGCCCAAGACTGGTTGCCCACTGAAGCTAAGCAGGGCTGAGCCTGGTCAGTACCTGGATGGGAGACCTTCTGAGAAAACCAGGTTGCTGCTGGAAGAGGTGTTAGTGAGGCCAGCAGGGGGTGCTCACCCTGTGGTCTGTGTGGGTCCTAACGCCCTAGTATAGTGACGGGGACACTATACTGTCAAAAGAGCACCGTCCTTCGGATGAGACGTTAAACCGAGGTCCTGACTCTCTGTGGTCACAAAAAATCCCAGGATGTCTTTCGAAAGAGTAGGGGTGTAACCCCGGCATCCTGGCCAAATTTGCCCAGTGGCCACCTGTCCATCATGGCCTCCTAATCATCCCCATATATACTGATTGGCTTCATCACTGTCTCCTCTCCACCAGTAAGCTGGTGTGTGGTGTGTGGTGGGTGTTCTGGCGCAATATGGCTGCCGTCGCATCATCCAAGTGGATGCTGCACATTGGTGGTGGTTGAGGAGATTCCCCCCTTCTATGTGAAGTGCTTTGAGTGCCTAGAAAAGCGCTATATAAATGTAATGAATTATTATTATTATTTTTATTAATTTAAAACTACAGTAAGTTACTGGCAAGCAGCTGCCAGTAATACTGTAATTTCTACAGATTTTTTTCTAGAGTGTATACAACTTCTACGAATATGAAAGTCCACCCCTAAACCTAACAGTCAATTGGACATAAGATTGAATGAAAACGTACAAATGATTGTACGAACTAATACAATTTAGCCATCAATTCACTAAAATGTATAACCAATTGCCATGCGAGTGTGTTAGAGAAAATAAGTTGGCAAATTTACAACATCTTGTCAAAGCCTGAAATATCATAAAAACCCTTGTTCCTGTTTTACTTTAATCAGTTTCAATCCCGAATTTATCTTTTCAACATAACATATCTTTAAATCTTAAAACGTTGAACAAAATTTCTAAATGCAGTTTAAAGATTTAAAGCCTTCTTCTCATGAGATGTTTGTGTTGGAATCAAAGATAATCTGCAGAAACAAATTCTGGCGAAGACAGATAAGTTTCCTTTTAACTCTAAAAGAGTCCTTTTTATTTCCCCCATAACAAGACTGTCTGTGACCCGTGTGATAAATGTTACCAGAGAGCAAGAAAGGAGTAATGCCGATGTGGACAGTCCCTTTTCAACAATGGTAATGTGTAGACCATTAAGATTGAATCTATAGAGTTTTTACAGGTTTGCTGTCAATATGGCACGACAGTTAAAGGCTTTCAGTGAAAGCTCCAGTGGCAATGCAACATAGAGATTACTGCTATATAAATATATATATAAATATATATATATATATATATATATATATATATATATATATATATATATATATATATATATATATATATATAAACTGCCATTCAAAATGTTGTGGTCAGTAAGATTTTTTTGGTAACACTTTATTTTACAGTGTCCTTGTTACATGTGTTACATGTACTTACTGTAGTAATAACAGTAAGTTGGTAAATTGTGTAATTAGTAAACAGTAAATTATGCATAATTGCATGCAGCTAACCCAAATTATTATATTATTTATTAATTATATCGAAAGAACATGTTGTTAATTAATATTACGCAGTAATTAGATAGTTACACTGTAACAAAAATAAAGTGTAAGAGATTTTTTTCTTTAATACTTTTTTATTTTTTATTATTAATAATTTTATTCAGCAAGGATGCATTAAATTGATCAAAAGTGACAGTAAAAACATTAATAATATTTTGAACTTTATTCATTAACCCTTAAAGGGAAACTTGGCAACTATTTCAACTTAATAAAACCGTTTAGAAATCATTTGAATGGTTCAATAACCTATTCTGGAGAGAATGGTGACTTTCCCCGCTCCCCCCAGCGTTCCCAGGCGGAAAACCAACCTTGCAACATCAGGACTAACGTCCCGGTAAGGTGGAAATAGGAAGTCTCGTGAGAATAAATGTGAATCGCACTTATTCAGTCATCAAAGATTCAATTATTGTTGTGCTGAAAAAATATAATTACACTGTTTCACTCCTCGCGAGTGTCGTTAAAAAATGTCTAACTTTAAAAAATGAATGATGTCCTGGGTCACTAAAGACCTGAGGTAGTATGCGTTTAAGGGTTAAAGAATCCTGGGGAAAAAAGGATCACTGTTTCCACAAAACACAACACAGTCTTTTCAATTTTGTGAAAAGTCTGGAGTAAATAGAATTAAAATAGAAAAAAGGCACACAAATATTTCACAATATGACTGTTTTATTGTATTTTTGATCAAATAAATCCAGCCTAAATGCAATAAAAAAGCATAATATATATATATATAATTTTTTAAAACATTAAACAATGTGTGCGGCCTCAAACTGTACCTAGAAATTTGCTAATTGAACTAATGGCGCTTTTCCACTGCTGGTACGGCTCGGTTCGGCTCGGTACGGTTCGACTCGGCGCGGAACGGTTCGGCTCGCTTCGCTTTTCCACTGCGTGGTACGACTCGACTCGGTTCGCTTTAGCTCGGTTGCTTTTCCACCGCAGTTAGTACCTCTTCAAAGTGGGTGGGACTGATCGTTATTTTGTCCCTACACTGTTTGTAGGTCCGGTGATAGCCGTGTGCGGCTAAGAGCTGAGCTACTTCTTGGAACACTTTTTCATTCCGTTTTGCCCCATCCAGCTCTCGCTGGATCCGCTCCTCGGCAACCAACGAGAGGAACGTCTGCACCTCGTCCACTGACCACGATTCAGCCATTTCTTTTTAAAGTTTAAAAAACAGATGCTACCGCGTTGGCTGTTGTCTACTGGTTATTTAAATCTAGCGGGTTTAGTGTCCAATGACGGTGGTAGTGACGATTCTGTCTGACCAATCAGTGATCTGCAGTGTTTTTACGTCACATTTTAGTACCGGTACGGTACGCTTGGAACCTCAACAGACCAGGTACCATTTAAAGCGAGCCGAAGCGAGCCGTACCGTACCGGACCATGCAGTGGAAAAGCACCACAAGTGAGCCGTACCGAACCGAACCGTACCGTACTATGCAGTGGAAAAGCGCCAAAGCGTGCCGTACCGAACCGAACCGTACCGTCCTATGCAGTGGAAAAGCGCCATAAAACACTGCAAACATGCAAAACAAAGTAACATTAGAGATATAGTGTAGTATGCTCTAATAAAAATAAACAGACTTTTTTTTCAGCATTTAAAGACAAAAACAAAAATTAAGTGGGACGTCTATTTTAGTGGTCCTCTCCCAAAAGCCAGAATGTCCTCACCCAGCCCTTTCCCTGAAATGGAAGAGAACAGGGAGGTGAAAGCAGTTCCGAAGCTTTGAAAACGTATTGTCAGGAATCAACTATTGAGATCTATTTATAGGTCCTTGCCAGCTGTGGCTCGTTACCGAAGAAATATTTCCACTCTTTCTGAAATTATATTGCTATGTATACATAACTTTTCAGATATCAATGTTTACATCCTTGATTGTAGTTATGATGTCATTTTATTACATTATGGCTTTGTAACAATGGATTTTTCACTGTTAGCGCAAGCAATGTTGAAGCACCAATCCTAAAATAAATACGGGTGAAAAGAACCAGTTGAGCGAATAGGATTGTTGTGACGTGGTAAGACAGGCGAGATGAAAGTGAGATGGTGTTTTCTGAGGTGAATGTCAAAAGTGACAGCAGTACCTTTATGTGAATGTCACCTCGCAGATCACAGCGGAAAGTCCTGAAAGTGTCGAGGAGAGATTTGGTGGAACTGCTCACATGGATCTTCAGTGCTGAGGGAAAAGTATAACGTTATGATACCTGTCTACACTATTGCGGGTGTTAAAACTGTGCTAAGGTCCAGGCAGTGGCAAGATAATGCAACGTCAATCACATACAGGTTTCATTTGAAATTCTTCTCTGACATTTTACTAATCTACTGTCAGCACATCCTTCATGAGTGATCTTACGTAATCCATATGTCTCCATCCTGGAGGCCGTGTTCACAGTGTCTCCAAATAAACAGTAGCGTGGCATTTTCAGACCCACAACCCCTGCGACACAAGGCCCTGTAACAAGCAATATGATTTTTTTTATGATTCTGCATTTTTCCTCGACCTCTAGTAGTTTTAACAAACACATTTCAAATAAAGTTTCTTCTATTTCTCTGTCACAGTAGTACGGTCTGTGTGCTTAAATCACCTCTTTAATGATGGTGTTATGTAATATAATGTACAATGATGTCATTTATTTAGAATTTTTCTTATATGTGTCATAAAACATGTTGGCATGTTGGAATCTCGGCATAAATGCCAGAGCGGCTGACAGCGTAAACACTCCTCTGATGCGTAAATTGACCAATCAGAATGAATATACAAATGTGTCATTGGTTTTCTATTGAAAACACATCTGAAAAAGGCAAGAGAGAGAAGAAATGAAATGTACTGTATAAACCTTTTGAATAAATAACAAGTCATAATCAAATATATCTATGAGAGGTAGTCTCTCAAACCTGTGGAAAACAATGCACAACATTTGTTTCCTATACTATACAGAGATTGTGAAATATTGTAAAATATTACAATTTAAAGTAACTTTTTCTATGATATATTTTAGATTGTAATTTATTCCTGTAATGGAAAAGCTGAATCATTACTCCAATCTTCAGTGTCGCATGATCCTTTGGAAATCATTTTAATATGATGATTTGCTGCTGATGAAGCATTTCTCATTATTATCACAGTTAAAAAATTATTTAACAGTTTAATTAATAGAAAGTTCAAAAGAATTGCATTTATCTACTGATTGATTGGTTGATTGGTTGATTGACTGATTGATTGATTGATTGATTGATTGGTTGATTGGCTGAATGATTGATTGACTGATTGACTGGTTGATTGATTGATTGATTGATTGATTGATTGATTGATTGATTGATTGATTGATTGTAACAATGTAAAAGTCTTTACTGCCACTTTTGATCAGTTTAATGCTTCTTAGTTGAATACAATTAATTTATTTCATAAAAAAAATCCTACTAGCCCCAAACTTTTGAATCACAGTACACATTTTTAGGGCAGAAAATCAGGTGGAAATATGAGAGGCTTACTGAACACTTGAAGTTGAGTGGCAACTTTTGAGTAGCTATTTTTTTTCTCATGTACCAAGCTGTGGTGGAGCATGAGGGAATTTTTAAAATGTGGCTCTTGCAGACAAAAGAAATTTTCCAAACTAGCTCTTGAACTACTGCTAAGGTTGAGCACCACTGATACTTGTTCATATTTTAGTTGAATAGCACAAAAAAGTGTTCATGAAGGTTTACTCTTTTGTTACATACAGTAACATAAATTACAACCCAGTACCAAAGTACACTCATATCCTGAGTGAATTTCTTTTTCCTGATTGATCAGGGTCATTGCAGGCGAGTGCATACAAGAATAGCCCATGCAGCCAAAGAGCTGTCACCATCCAGTTATTACCTGAATGGACTCCAATGCGGACCCTCAGCTGCTGCTCTGGTACGTGTGGACTCTGGAAGCTCCTCATGCCCTGCACTATAGCCAACGACATTCTGGCTATTTCTTTTGCATGTTCGACTCCATTTCTTATAGGCAGGCCCGACACTACCATGTAGGCATCGCCAATGGTTTCCACCTGGATACAGCAAAGGAAACATGAAGCAACCAATAACCTACAATGAAACGGTGAGGCATTCATATTACGTACCTTATAAACATTGTGGTTGTCAATGATATTGTCGAAGTATGTGTACAGATCATTCAGCACGTTCACGACCTACAGGAAAGGAAACAAGTGCGGCCGGTTTAAAGTCAGCTTATGGATACAAAGATCAAAGTTTCAGTAAGGTGACCATAGTTTTCCACTTTGGTTCAGCTGTGGGCTTTAGTATGGTCCACATATAGCCTCATGTGAATGTATTATTTCCACTTTAAGACTCAGCCGAGATAGCGAGCCAACAGCTATGCTAACAGAAGCCTGATATTCGTGACAGAGTGGAGTTTTCAGCACTTGAGCCATGTGATCTAGTAATGTCAGGAGCTCTCATAGGACACATGAGACCCATTCCAGAGCTTACTATGCGGGTATTTGATCTTACAACAGACGCCTACACACACACACACATGCACACACACACATTGTTAAACAATTTCAAAGTCTTAGACAACTCAAATCAGCACCTCATCAAGCCTGGCCAAATGGCTCTGGTTATATGTATTTTTCAAAATAGGATCGAAGTTAGTTCAAATGACGCCACATAGGATCTACATTTTTAAAAACCCTCTGTGAAATGTTTTCGAAATGCAGCCAAGCCTGCTCAGAAAGCACTGGGCAGAAACTCTCCGAGATGCTGTTTGAGTCTTGGTGTCTTTCATCACCTGCATTGGCGTGAGGGATGCTGACATGGCTGTGAAGCCTTCAATGTCACTGAAATAGATGGTGACGCAGTCGTAGGTCTCTGCTCTCACTGTCTTTCCCGCTAAGAGCTGAGCAGCTACAGATCTAAAAATATGAGGGAAAAAAGACAGGCACTTTTCAAAGGCAGGTTTCAAGTGGAGGCCTTGGTGATGTTGATCACTGGTCACGTATAGGCTTGTCGTTAGGTCAGGTGCAGGCAAGTTTTTAGTAACACTATTGAAGTGTTGGGGATATGTCAACACAAAAGCATGCATCTTTTTTCACTAAGCATCCAGTTTAACCAGGTGTTCAACCCAAAAATGACATTTTTGTCATTATTAACTCACCCTCATATCATTCCAAATGTTTCATTCATCTTCAAAACCCAAATGGTAAACAGAAACTCAATCTCAAACCTTACTGGATCTTACGCATCAAGAAAGTATGGTTGAGCTTTCGTTTACTATAACTGATGTACTCTATGTAGGAGCGTTGATCAATGTTTATATGTTTGGGTTTTTTTTTTTTGGGGTGGGGGGTTGTTTTATTTATAAAGCACTTTACAACTGTACCTGCAGACCAAAGTGCTGTACAATCGGCAGCATAAAACAAACAACACATAAAAACAACATGCAACTTACAAAAACAGATACTAGCCCAACATCTCAAAGGCTAAAGACAAGAGTGATATGTGAATAAAAGTCTAAATTAAATCTGTATATAAAAAAAAGAGATTGTGTATCTTCAGAAGACTTGGATTAAATATGAATTATTTGATGGATTGATTATATGAATCCATATTTCATATGGATTGCATTTACTGTATACGGTTTGGGTGAATGGACTGTCAATGGAGAGACCGAAATCTCTCAGATTTTATTAAAAATAATTTCAGTTGTGTTTTGAAAAAGAACAAAAGTCTTGTGAGTAATTGACAGATTTTTTTTTTTCAACTCTCCCCTTAAATGTACTGAAACAGCACAGCACCATAGTTAATTAATTGTGTCCTTTTTTTCTCAGAGCGAAAATGACTTCGCTGTATGTAAATGAGAAGTTAATAAAGATTTTGCCTTAATATGAGGTAGTATACATAATTTTATTAAAACAATATATTTGTGTACATTTTTATTGATAATTGCAGCAATAATTCATCAAATGAAAGACAAGTGCATTATAACCCAAGCACATATCCAGTTTCGCACATATATTGCAAATTGCATTCAGTACAAAATATTTTCAAAATATTCAGTGTTAAAGGGATAGTTCACCCAAAAATGAAAATTATGTCATCATTTACTCACCCTCAAGTTGTTCCAAACCTGTATGAATTTACTTTCTTCTGCTGAACACACACACAAATTATTTTTGAACAATGTTGGTTGCCAAATAGTTGATGGACCACATTGACTTCAATAGTATTTTTTTCCAACTGTTTGATTACCCATATTCTTCAAAATATCTTCTTTTGTGTTCAGCAGAAGAAAGAAATTCATACAGGTTTGGAACAACTTGAGGGTGAGTAAATGATGACACAATTAAAATTTTCCTTTAAGGAAAATTTCAGGAAAAAACTAGCGGCAATGAAAGCCGACTGTGGTGATGCCTCTTGTTACCTGTCAGGGAAAAATATCTGCGCTTGAACACACCGCAAAGACTAAAGCCAACTGCCAACTAGTGCATTCTTTCTGTGCCTGTATGGGAGGAAATAACTCTTGATACCAGCAGGTGGCAGTAGTCTGTATTCATTATTTAAAGGGTGTCCTATTATGCTTTTCCACTTTTTCTACTTTAGTTAGTGTGTAACGTTGCTTTTTGAGCATAACTCCAAAGGGAGATATTTTATTTAACAGAATCAACTTTTCAAGAACCTCAACGAACGGCTCGTTTGGACTACAGCGCACTTTTTCCGGATCTCATGAAGTCATAATGTTCCTCATTTAAATAATACCCACCCACGGAGTAGGCAAAAAAAGTTGGAGAGGCCTGGCTAATAAAAGTTTGTCCTAAGGCTGACGAACTTAGAGTGGTTAAAATGCATTTTTATCACTCTTCCTGAACAATATAACCTCAACATTTGTCTGTGCACTCCACATTTTACTTCCAGAAGAGAGTACAATGCAGGCTATAAGCTCAAATGCTTCTCCTGAAAGACGTAGCCGCTCCCATTTTGTTGGGACTATCTGTTGTTTATGGCTCACAACTTGTAAGTTATGGATCGCAACTTGTAAGCAAGTATGTCTTATTTTTTGTAGTTGTGTTTTCTATTTACAGTTCCAGTTATAAGTTTTATGTAGTTAGCTATGATATAAAGGAAGGGCAAAGCTTTGCCTCCACTAGCCTGCTAACTAACATTACAGTATTGATGTAGTGTTTACTTTAGATTTTGTAAGCTCTTGCTTTTGTAAGACTGTTCAATGCCCCTTAGAAAAATGATCCATGATTTTGTGATCGATTACATCATATCTATAAGAAAAATACAAAAAACATACCACTCTGAAAAGTCCTGTGAAATATGTGCTTGCAAAGTCAATGCTTGAAATCTGTTCAGCACAATCCTGTTGTTCGTTAACATTGTCAGGGTCTGAATTGGTTTGAAATTGACGCCATCGTTAATATTTTCATCTGAGTAGAGCGTGGTTATGAAGGGGCGGGACATTTCCTGAACACACATTAAGCGCTGCCAATCACAACACACTGGGCCAGCTAACCAATCACAGCACATTTTGTCTTTCGGAAGGAGGGGCTTCATCAAAAATGACACGTTCAACCAGACTGGGGAGAGAGGAGCTGTAATAATGTAAAATATGTGAAAAATATGGTTTTTGAACAATCAAGCATGAAACCATATTCTAATACATCCCAAAAACAAAATCAAGACTTAAAAGGGCATAATAGGACCCCTTTAAATAGGCAAACAAGAATTCTGTGTATGCCCTCTTGACTTTGTCATTTGCATGCTTCTCACTTCCATTTTTCATCTTGTGTACTGGTTGACTTTAACGACAGCCTGTCATTGGCCAATGGCCAACCATCGGCTTAGTGCTTCATGGCCTACATGCATATTTTCTTTTACGAATTAAGTAAAACATCAGTTGGCGCAATGATAACCCCATGATTTATATGCCTCCATACCAAACAACAGCATGAGATTGTAAATCAAGGAAGTGTAAAAAGGAAAAGGATTTATATCCATCTTTCTGGGTTATAATCTGGAGCATTACCGTGGCAGCATCTGTGTGAGTAGCCCCTCTGCCCGCTTCTTCTCTTCCTGAAGTTCAGCGGTACGCTCACTAACTATCTCCTCAAGATTGCATGCATACTGCTCCATACGGGACAGCAGGTTATCCAGAATGTTCTCAGACCCCCTGTGAACACACACAAACGATTAGCATTTAATATTATAGCTTTAGTACTATCACATTAAGCAGTAGCAATTCTTTATTGTGCCTTTAAGGGCCATGCTGTTGCAAAATAATTATTATCAACATACAGTACACATACTGTAACACAATTGCTCTTTTAATCTGTCTTTCTCTCTCTCTTTCTCTCACCCTTGCTCCTCTAAGGCCAGTATAAATGTTTAGAGTGATACGCTTTGACAGTGTTGTTCTCACGAGACGCTGTGCTTGCTGGGTTGTGTGTCTCTGGTCCCCAGAGTGCTCATATCTTGTTTGTTTGTCTACCTGATTAAGCACTGTCATTTGTAAATGTAATTAATGATCCTCTGTGTCCCTGCCCTGTTGTTCTTTATTACCTCAAAAGTGCTCATTAGTCACAACTACCCTCATTTATAAAGCTGAAACAACCACAGAGAGGAAGAATGTGCAACTGTTACAGGATCAAGACATAATTGTATTGGAAGGGAGAGATAGCTGTACACTTCTGATGTCTCAGCACTGCTTGTTTAAAGTGCCTTTAATCAGACTTACCTCAATGTTAACACTGACTTCACTTGAGAGTCTTAGAAGTGCAAGTGGGGAAAATTGTTTCAACAGAAACTCTAATGAAAGTGCAGTCCGCAGAGGAACTGTCAGATATAAAAGTCAGAGTGTCTGTGGTGGTTCTCTTTGTTTTGGTTTGTGGTATGCAAGTACTAACTGTAAATTGGCAATTAAACTGTTTTAGCCTAGTCCCAGACTAAAATGCATGTTTAACTGAAAGCAACTTGCACTGTCATATCTTAAAATATGTCAGTGCCATTGTTTTGTCTCAAGATGCACATCAGTAATGTTTTTCTTTTTTCTTAGGCACGTTTATAAAAGCTACTTAAATGTCCTTAACTAAAGCCTATACTGGCTTAATCTAAGCCCTGTCTGTGAAACCAGGCCATAGTGTACGGTATTTGGCTTAAAATTAAAATGCAGTTTAAAAAGCTTATTTTTTCGCTGATAAATAAATGAGCGATTTTTTAGCGATTTTGTTTTGTGCTTTTGTCTTTTCTTTTTTTTAAAGTAATTTTAGTACTTCAACTTAAACATTTGATTTCAGTTAGGCTACTTGCCATGGCGACATTCCTAATAAGTATTTTAAGCTTAAGTTTTCATCTAATATGTATATGTATTTTATTTCAGCTTTATTTCAATAAACGAATATTATTTTTTTAATAATTGTAAAAAAAAACGTTATTGTTTTCTCATTCATGACTAATCACTACACACTTTATTTTCTTTATTTTTTATTTCTTTAATAATAATAATATTAACAACAACACCAAGAAGAATGTAAAAAATAACTTAACCCTTTAGTTTAGTTGTGGTCCAATTCTCACTATTAAAGTTGCTTATTAGCATGCATATTATTAGGATATTGGCTGTTTATTAGTACTTAAAAAGCACTTATTAATGCCTTTTTCTGCATGACCATAATCCTACTCCATACCTAACAACTAACTTATTAATAAGCAGTAATTAGGAGTGTATTGAGGCAAAAGTAGTAGTTAATCGTGAGAGTTGGACCCTAATCTAAAGTGTGACCAAATAAACTGTGTGTGACTGTAAATTAACTATTTCGGACTACAAAAGAAATCTAGACAATGAAAAGAAGAGATGATGAACAACACATTATTGCTCTATGTCTTGCTTCATAACTGACCCATTAGGACACATTTTTTTGATGGCAGTCCTGAGAAATGAGAAGTCTGGTCTCTCGGCAGGTTTCTCTCTCCAGCAGCTGACCAGGAGACCCTCCAGTTCCTCTACACACTCCGCTTGTTCTATATGCGGCCTCAGTGGGCTACAGCCCCCCGTCCTGACCCTTTCCACAATCTCTGAAAACAGACAGGGAGAGAGTCCTTCACGGGTGCCCATCTGCAGTGGTTTACTTTGTGTTACGAAGAGTGGCTTTAATGACAGAAAAGGGGTTTTGGAGAGAGGCTGTGGAGAGTATTGTCGTACCTTTAGCACTGAAGTGACTGTTGGGGATGTAGAAAGGCCCTCTGCGATATACCACCTCTTGAGCGATAATGGCAAAACTGTAGACATCCCCTTTTTGAGTGCCATTAGCAGCCATGGACTGCCTCAGCAGCTCTGGTGCCCTCCATAGCAGAGCTTAAAATGCAAACGCAATTTTATTTACAGAACTGACTAAATGTAACTAAATGTGAATTCCAATGACAAGTGAGCTTCCCTATGCCCGACTCACTCCGAAGGGCAGAACCTTTGAAGTGGGGAATTTGGAGGGAGCCCCTGCTTGTGTCACAATGTATCCGTTTGGAACACACTTGGTGAAGTGAACAACATGTAATCATTATCTGTTCAACAACTTGAAGTATTCTGTTTATGAGTTAACTCGGACACTCCCGCCATCCAGCTATAAAATGAGTTGCGAGGATTCATCACCCTAGGTCACATGACCATGATCGATAAAATTACTTCCTTAATGTGACCATCGAATATGACCTTCGCTAACGGACTTGTGGAAGGGCCCTTCGTGAAGGGATAGAAGGAATGTATTGACGTCACTTTCCCGCCGGAACACGCCCCCCTCAGCCGGACTGAGTGGCAAAATAGCCTGACTGGATTTAATAGGGGAAACTGCGAAAACGCAAGTAAAACAAACGATTATCATTTTAAACTAAAGATTGAAGTAAATAGTGTTCCTTACAACTTACCAAAGATCCAGTGATCCATGGAAATTGACATGCAGCCAGGAATTGTGTTTCCTGACATTTATGTGCCTGATTTCGACGCCGGGGAAATACATACAGCACATTTGCCTGTGAACGCTTTATATAAATACAATATAGGTAGGTCTAAAACCATGTGATCGCTCATATTAATGTTATATCATCATATCGTCCAGCCTTAAAACTTGTACAGTTTTTGTCAGTGTTTATTTAAACACGTCCAATTATGAATATACGATGGTTAAATATTTAAATGATGAGTTGTCAATACAATATATAACAATACAATATATAGGGTACGATTTTACCCCTAAATTCAGCATATTGACACTAAATGATAACTCCAAATCCACCTTTCGCTGCCTGGAGTCCAGTTGTTTCTATGAATTGCAACTATCCATTTGCTTCTCTGTTCTGTAGCTTTCGGCAGTCTGTACAAATATACCTCTGATTTCTTGTCAAATGTAGTTGTACAGTGAATCGCATAGCTCTTTCCCGTTTGAGATGTTTTGTGTGTTTTTCACGGCATTCACGCTGAAAACAATTGCTTCCAAAAGTCTTTTTTGCCACTTAGTGGGCGTAACCGCAGTCCCACCGGCTGACGGTGATACCCCCATACCCTCTATCCAGATGTTCACTTTCGCTTGGATCGCCCCTACAATAGGCGTCCCCTTCCCGAAATGTCATTTGGAATCCGCCCTAAAACTATAAAATTCTGTTTGCATATATGTGTGCAAAACAATTATGTGTTTAATGCATTGAACTCTAAACCAATTATTACTTTTTCATGATCTCTTTCTCCAAAAAAAAACTTGGTGGAAATGCATTTTTCGGAAGTTCCAGAATTCCAGCTTACCGGTCCAGGGGTCAGATCCAGGGCTCTGCTCTGAGTCTGAGCGCCTCAGAGCGTTAAGTCCAAAATCAGTGACCTTCAGGACAAAGCGACTGTCCACCACACAGCTCGATGATGAGAGGTGACCGTGACAGTGCAGGGGACTACAGTGCAAATAGTCCATGCCCTACAAGAGAGTCCAAATTTATCCATCACTGTTTTATATTCTACTGTCAGCAAAATCATTTTAAACTATAAGACAAAGACACGGTGACCTTTACAATGTCCAGCATGAGGGAATACTTAAAAGTCCAGTCCAGCTTGATCGACTCATTCTTCAAAATGTCCTGCAAAGTTTGTGGACAAAAAACTTTCGTTGCAATGGCCATTCGTAAAATAATTAGAAACCATCCTCACATTGGCATTCTGACATTAATTTTGAAGTTGCCATATATGTTGCAAGGTTGTAGGACTACAACCATTATCCTGTTAGATACACTTCTTTTATTCATAAATCCAAAACTGCCATTATTAAAAACCCATAGGGAAATCCTGAGTCAATGCATGGTTTGAAAATGCCATTTCCCAACCTAAACAGAAAAGAAACAATTATCTTATAGCACCTGCAGACTCCCTTTAGGGCAGTACTCCGTAAGGACGAAGGGTTGATCGGTTTCCAGGGACGCTCCAATAAATTTACAAAGGTTATAGTGGGTCAGATCTCTGCACTGAAACACATACACCCATAGAGGTGTCATTGTTTTGTTGTGACAGGCTAAGAATCAATATTTGTCAATGCTTTAAACAGATTTCACCAGTTTGAGCTCCGCCAACAGCTCGCTGTTCAGATGAGTGCTTCTTAAATTCAGAAAGCAAACAGAACAAATTGTTCCCTGAAGAAGAAAGAAAAAAAAAGAATAATTAAATTAACTATGAATAGATTTATAGGGCAACTAAATCACAACCAATGTTTTGTAGCATAATTTGTCTTGTACTTGTCACAATACAGTGACGTAAATGTTTAATCGCTAAGAGATCCCAAATACTTTACTTTGTAGGCTGCGGTTTGCGCGGATGTCTTGTCTTGCATGCTGCTTATGATAGATTCCAAAGAAGCCTGAATGGGTTTGGAACTGTGGGACTGAGCCAAAAAAGGGGAGAGCCTATTATTAAAGTAATGGATTTATTCATTCATTCATTCATTCATTATTCCTGCCTTACAATTACTATTAGTACTTATAACAAGCATGTACTGTATGTATACTCATATATGAGTTCACACACTTGTATGAGAACATATAGTAAACTGTGGGCCGGAAGAGATACTTAATCCACATATGACGCATTCAATTATTTGAAAACCTTTGCTGGCACGGTTGATGAGTGATGCTTCATCATTATGACATCATCAGCATTGACTTTCCACAACATCTTGGAGGCTTCCTCCTGGAGTTTGTACTTCCTGGTAATAAAAATATAGGCCTGCATTTTTGGACATCAGTTAAAATGTTTTAGCTGAATTTAGTCTGGAATTCATGAACTTTCAAATCCACAGAAAGTTTCAACATAATTGTATAACATGCAAATCTTACATCCAAAATAAATAAAAATGGTGTAACTGGCAAAAAAGCATCACTTGGAACGGAAAATCAAGTATACACACATCTCATTTATTCAAATTATCTCATTTCGATTATTAAAAGTTCAGCAGTTCTGAAGGCGCAATCTGCAGTGAAAAATATACACTTTGACTATTACCTGTATTGAACACAGATTGCAAGCGTTCCAGCAGCCACCAAGCCAGCAATAATCCCCAAAGCAATCAAAAATTTTCTCTCTGAAAATAAAACACATACATTTGTAATCTGCAGGTCTGCTGTGTGATTAAAGCGCACTTGGTGTCAACATCCAACTACGTCCATTTATAGAAGTCTGATACAGCAAGACTTGAAGCCGCCAAGGGTAATTCTGTAGGAATGCAATATGAAACAGTCACCTTTTCAGAATTCTGATAAAAGGATTATATCTGGTTGCATAAGACTGTCCTCGCTTTATTGCTTCGACCTGTTAGCTTGGGGGAGATTCAGTCAGTGAATAGCTGAGAAATCTATATTGCCATTCAGTTGGACATTTGGGTCTTGCAGGCAATGGTACATTATTCAAGATTTGTTCCTTCTTTTTTAATCAAAGAGAGTGGATGGGGCAGTGCCAGAAACTGAAAATGAAGGGGTGGGAAAACAACGGCTGGGTGGTGGGGTGTGAATCCACTGATGTGAGGAGCAAAGGTGGGCTTTTGGTGCCCCCTACTGGAAACAAAGTTACTATACTATGGCCTCGGACTGGCCCCTTGAAGAAGTTGATAAGCAATAACCGCATGATCACGCTTCCAAGCTTCATATCATGTTGCTTTGAGTTATTACCACAAGACAATTTACAAATTAGTCAAGAGAGGGTCAATAGTGAAATACATTCAACAACCTTGAAGCTATGAAAGTCCCAAAACCAACCTAGGAAAATGTGTCTCCACCTTTTTACAAAACTCCAAAAAACTTAGCTATACATACTATTAACTGCTGTTTCCAGCAGATCATTGATTAATAAAGACTTATTTTCATGTGGTTCCTTGAACGATACTATGACCTCAAAACACGTTTACCATAGTGCTTGATTTGTAGACGAATACATTTTGACGTCCTGTGAAACACAGGTCACGATAAAAGAGCTCAAAGACTTGTAGAAGCAAGCTAAAATGGCATGGTTGCTTCAGCAAATGCATTATGTTACGTTTTCTTTCTTTAACACTATTGTTAAGGTTTAGGGTTTGATTTGATATATGTGGTAGTAAGGGCTCTCAATAATGATTCTGACACACAGACACGTTTTTTTTTTTTTTTTTTTGCAATGAGCCTGGGTTTCTTAATACCTAGATTGATGCAGAGTTCCCCTTGAAAGCCACAATCTGGAGAGTCTTTGGGAGGAGTTGTCCGTCCTCCAGGCCAGCTGATGTGAACCCCTTTTACTGCCTTATATGTCCCAAAATAGTTTGCAATGACCTGTGTGGAGAACCCAATGACTCATTTGACAAATGTAATTCAGAATAGCAGAGCATGGCTTCCATTGGTTTCGCTTACGGTTGATATAAGTAGTGAGCATGGCAGTATCTCACCTGACTCTGGTTACTACTATCTTGAATTTGCTTCATCATGTAGTTTAACTCACGATCTCCATTTGCATCAATGGTTACATCGCCTTGGATGCCTGTGTAATAAGTCACAAAGCATGTACCTTATGAAATCCTGTCAACTTGGTGGCAAACAATTTTATTTACAATAGGAAATGACATGAATTGTTGGTGTAGGAAAGAGAATGCTCAATACCCTGTCAACAAAACCAAACTAGAAATAGGCTATGTACTTTATAACTCATATTGTTTTCAGCATTGCTCACACATGCAAGCTTAAGGTTTGGGAAAGATTTCATTATTACAAATTTGCAGTGTTCACTATACCCAATTGGGAATCAATAGATATAGTTTAAGTTCTACAAACCTGTTATGGTCCTGTTCCACATTTGTCTAGTGATGGCCAAGCCATCATATGGGTTTCCATTTTCTGCCAAAGTTTCGTTTAACGCCTGGGCATACAGCCAGACAGTATCATGGGCTATGGCTGCTAGCACTGACACCTGTTAAATTAAAACAATTAAACTCATAATAAAATAACCTTTAAGTTTTATATTTAAAAACATGCACATCTAAGATGGACATCTGGTTTCACATAAGCCACTGAATTAGGCTTCCCCATCTGCATCAAAACACTGATAGCATCATTGACATCAGACTCTACCTTTGTTTATGTCTATAATGTAAAATCCAACCTTTTCAGTAGGAGCATATATATAGCCAAAGTCTGTTTTGGATCTTCTGGTGACATTCTCTGAGAAGGCCTGATACCGTTTATCACTGGGTTTATACACTGACAGGAAAAACAGAGCCTGATAAGCTTGCCTGGCCACTGAGTCATATTCATCACCTGAGAAAGAAGAAAACCATGCACTATGAATAGAAAATGGCGTCATATTCAGTAATGCCTCAATTTGTGAGGTTAGAGAAGTCATTGCTTTTGTGGTTACACAACACACCTTGTTTCCAGTCAAAACTGCCAAACAAGACCTTTTGCTTGTACGGCTCGAAACAAAAGAAGATAAAATCTCCGTCAGTCAGGCCTTTCTTGTGAGCTTCAATAAGCAAGCTGCGGACAACCTTGCCATGTGCTGATATCACAATAACTGAAAACACAAACAATGGTTTCATTGTTTAGTTCCTCACAGGTCTTGTGATAACAAACTTTTCGTGAGAACAGAATTGTTCTTACTGCGAGAGACTTGAGCCATCTCAGTTAAGATCCAGGACCAGGTGGATAAAGACCCTTGGGAGAGAGAGCCATGGATCTCTTGATACCTGGCCACTGTGATGTTATTGTGCTCTGCTTGATACCTTTGAAGAAATTAGGTTTAATAATGAAATTGAAAATTAAAGTGGTAACCATTTTTCTTAAACAAACTAATTGACCTCACAATATAAATATGTATCAAAACGTTTAAAGGTCTTAACCATTTTAATCGCAAATCACTGGTCAGGAAATTAGAAAGAATTGCACAAATACTGTACTAGACATAGTCACTTAGCACAGAATAGCCTTTCCCAACTTGCAGACAGCTTTTTAGAAGAGTCAGTGTTGTTCCACTCAATGTTAATGGCTTCAAACAGTTCATGCGTAGTTGAAAATGTCTTCCAGTGCGTCTGAGTTCAATTTGAGACCAAATATTCACTAAAGGGTTTAAATCTGGACTCTGGCCAAAGCTGGTGGATTTGTTCTCAAGCCACTTCTTAGTTGTCTTTGGAATTTGGGCAGGAGCATTGTTTTGTTGAAAAGTAACATCTGATAATTCCTTAGATCACTTTCCATTAGTGGGAAGCTGTACTCCAAAGCATTAAATGACTTTTCACAAGTAGTTCACAAATACCAGCAGCTAAAAATGTTTCACACACAATGACACATCCTCTGTGTTTCATTGTGGTAGAGATGCACTTATTATCATGTAAATTGTGTTTTATTGTTCATCGCTGCACACACAACTTCCCATATTCTGCCAAAGAGACAGCAATGGCTCTTTAAGTAGTGCATTTGCTTACATTTTGCTAATTTCCTGACCAATAGTTTGTGGTTAAGACAAATAAAAGCTTAGTCACAGTGTTTAGCCATTTTGGGGCCTTTTTTCTTTTCTTTTTTTTTTTCTTGCCTTGGAGTGTGTAGCCTATGGGAAGAAACATTTGAAATTTTACAGATTTAAATTAAATTCACACTGGAAAAAAACATGTAGGCCTATATTTCATAAACTAAAATAATGTTAATATACCAAATAACTAAAATCTGTTCATAACCTTTATGACAGACACCTTAAAAACACAGGTGGAAAAGTGAAAGCTTTTGTCATGAATCAAAATTCATCATAAGCAGTTTTTTCACAAGCTAAGGTAAATTCTAATATGTTGAAGGTGCACAGTGTCATACACACTAATACAAAACACCATAATGGTAACACACATAAAGAATGCAATAAACATTCATTTAACAACATAAGAAGCCTTAGAAGAAACTATTTCAATGAAAAATCATTAAATATTAGCTGTCACAGAAAATTCTGTCAATTTATGATTTTTCACTGTAAATTGTAAGATGATGTTCTTTTTCAGTATTTCACTTTAAAACTACTTGACAGATTTACACTGTATAGAGTAAGGCAACCAATTAACAGGATTTGACCATATTTTTTACAGTTAAAATTATGATACTTTTTTTTACATTGTACATACAGGGTATAATAAATGTAAATATACATACAGTGTAAAATAAATGTAAATCTACATCAATTTTTCCATCTCTGAGTGTTATGCCTATATTACATACTTGATCCCCTCAGCAGGAATAGTCCAGGAAGGTTTGCTGTCATGGATGATGCCTATGCGCTGCCAGCCAAAATGTTTACAGATTCCCACAAAGAAAGCCCCTAGTTTAGTGAAAGGTCCAAACACTCTTGTTAAAGTCGGATAGGCCTGAATTCAAAAGGGACCAAAAGCAACATTAAAAACCAAAAGGCAAAGTGCATTTTCAGATACAAGCATGTTAATGGAAACATAACCGACCTTCTTATCTAGAAACTGTTGCTCTGCACATACGGGACTGATGACAGCAATGTTCCAATAAGCTGCTAGTTTAGCAGTCACTGCACAGACCTTGAATAAAAATTAGCACCAAATGATAATACTCCATTTCCTGCACAACGAACAATAGATAATCCTATCTTCTAATGATGATATAATGTGACAAATAAGATTATAACGAGTTTTGTAATTACTTTTTGATAGCCCTTCATGCATTAAAAGTCCATTTTAAGCTTTAATTGGAACTGTGTGCTTGTAGAAGACCTTAATACCTTAATTTGAGAGTCTATTGTCTGAGTAATGATATAATAAGTGAGTGATTGTTATTTCTGACATGTTCTGTTTGAACTAGCTGTATTTTAATTTTGTATTAATTTTGACCTTCAACTGTCCTGGAAATGATGCTAATGCAACCACGTACATTTGAGCAAGACGGTCCGATGAAAGCGCTGTATTTGTGTCTATGGTAAAGCGCCACGATTTTCCCTGGGCCACGTAGATCATTGCATTCATCGTCCACATAATGGTAATCCAGATAATGCCCTGACACAAATCATTCAACATCACATTAAAGACGATAGATACATATTGCTCATCTTCCTTTTTATACTTGGTACAAATAGCTCACTGACCTTGCAGTAGGTCCGGACTGTTATTTACAGAACTGATAGCGACAAGAGCTCCAGCCCCAACCCGACCAACGCTGAAAGGAATGGAAGTGTTGGGCATGGAGATCAGCAAGGTGAATCTGGCGCCCAGACTGAGAGGAACCAGAGCCATCAAAAAGAGCAGTAAGCCAGGAACTCTCTCCAAGTGCTTCATTAACTCTAGATGACAGTACGCACAGAGATATATTTGTACATACAAATATTTCATATGTAAGCAAACTATGTATAGTATTTGAAAACATCTTATCTCATTTTAGCATTGTCAGTGGTAAAATCCAATGTGCTACGATTACGAACACTAAATGAGCTTGTTAAAATGAATAATACCTGAAATGACTGCACTTACCACTCATGCCAAAAAGAATAATTCCAGCTTCAATACAGAGGGTGATCAAAATTAGTCCAACGAATTTTTAAAAAGGGACCTTGCATCAGAAACTACCTGTATCGAGGATGGGAAAATATCCAGTGGCCATATGGTTTAGCTCTGAAACCAGCCATCCACAACAGTGATCTCCCCAGAGTGACTGTAAATCAAGGGTCTCACGTTAATACTGCTCTGTATCTCAAGCTGTGGTGCTCCTCTGACGTTTGTTTATAGCTTAAAAAAAAGCATATGAGTAAACACTGGTCTACAGATGTCTATGGGAATTCTCATCTCTATGAGGTCTGAAAAAAAAAAATGTCTTTGTCTCTCTTTGAGTGATAGAGTAGCTTTTTGTTTACATACATAATGGCTCTTTTTTAAAATGTGAATGTAAGCTTATGGCTCTCCTCATATTTATTAATAGCAAGAAAGTAAGGAGCTAATGAAAATATACTGGTATGATTGCCAACTTCCTGTGTCTCAAAGAAAAATAGAAAGAAGAATATTAAGTATAATTTGGGACATTAATTAATTATAGATCAGGAATCAGCCAGGTCAAGAATGAGAGGTCATGAGGCTAAAGTTAAAATAAGAACAGTGTCAGCTCCATGCACACTGGCACTATGGAGGCTTCTATATCGTGGGAACTGAATGCCCTCTAGTGTCTGTCCATTTTACAGGCCAGAAAACATTTGAAGCCTCTCTCAATACAGCTGAGCACCATGACAAAGAGAGATAAATGTTGAGGACTCCACCCCCTCTATTTTGGGGTCAGTTTGTGTCATGCACAAATACGCAGGGAATAGAAAAAATACAGGAATAGTAGTTGGAGAGACATTTTCTGCTTCAAATCTGGGATTTTATAAGTTCAGTTCGCATTTTCAGAAAAAACAAAAAAGATTAGCCTATAGCATTTTTCATATAATTCCAAATAAAACTGAACAACCATGAGCAAGAGCAGTTAAGTAAAACACAAATGCAAACTATTATCGCAAGGAAAGAGAGATGAAAACATAGGCCTACATAAAAAATGTGTTTATCTAAATTGGATCTAAATGTATTTTAAATCAAGTACTAATAGTTCATTTCTTACAATATATGTGTGAATGACTTTAAAAAAGAAACATAAACCTGAGCAAAAATGACAAATGCTGTAGGCAAAAATCCCAACTCGTGGCATTTAGCAACTTTAAATAAAAATGTATTAAGTTCATGAAGTATTAAGATTTATTTTGTTACATGATTAGGTAGCCACTGATGTTGTTGACTGATACATAATCCTATATAATCAGTTTTACAATATTATAGTGTAATAAAATACACAAATGGAAAAGTGGTGGCAATGACATCTTTGAAAGCACTCTTCAGAAAAACTGTTAAAAATAATAATATTCCATGGAATTCTAAAACTGCCCACAGTTATATTGTGTTAGAAGACAAATTAATGAAGCTAGGAAGATTGTTTTAAGTGTGTTTTAAGAGACGAGAGTGAATTTTCCATAAGCTCACAGTGCCAAAAGTGCTCCTAGTTGAATCACTATGTCCTGCGATTAAAATATTTTTTTGTGATTGTTTTCTCTTAAACTTTTCCGATTTAAAGCAATTGTTGCAACTCTGGGGGCGCGACCAGGAAATATTTGTAAAATTGATCTTATTGTAATTTATTTAAATTGTTTGATAAACTCTGTTTGATGTTATTATAGCCTAAATGCATGTAAATGACAAATAAATTCAAATTACAAGCATAAGCTTTCATAATTACAGCCATTTAATTTTCCTTAGGCCCAGGGGCGTTTCTAGGTTTTAAAAACATCAGGGGCTGAACCCGAAACATCAGGGGCTGGGGTGGGTAATAAGATAACATGATTCGATATCAGAGAACAATGTATATTGCAGGCCTATGCAGGGGGCAGACTGATTAAGAAAAAAACATCCCTGGCACTGTAACCAAACCAGCCCACATTACCACACAGTCACGCACATTGAAATGTGAGGTATGGTTCGGGTGCATACTCCCCCTAGAAAATTTGGATTTCTCAGACCTACATGTGTGCATTTTAAGGTGTTTGAAGGTCATAAAATTGGATAACAATAGCTTTAAAAGCATGTCAGTGGGCAGTAGCATAAATTATTTGTCAAGCATAACAGATTCTTAAATATGAGAATGAGGATAAATGTTGAAATGAATGATCCACACTTGGAATGCAGAAAGGAATGGCCTTAAATGAGAAATCTTTCAAGGATTATTTTGCATAGATGTTACATTTCAATCAAACACCAGTGCAATCTTTTTGTGTCCAGAGGCAAATGAGCAATTTATATATTAGCATTAAAGATTGGTTTCAGCAACTTGTTTCTTTCTTAAGTTAATCAATGTTTTTGGCACTAATCAGTTCAATTAAAGTTCAATTGTTCACTCATAAAAACAGTCACTTGTCGCCAATGATGCAATGATGCAAGTTGGGCAAACACAGACAAGCGGAGTGATACAAACGGTGAAAAGGCTGATACTGGTGAAATATTCGAACACATTCGAGGACCATACAAATATATTATATACTTATAAATTTTATAAATATATATTTATACTGAGAGAGCTGCCAACTCTCACGCATTGGCCGTGAGACACACGCATTTGATTGGTTTCACACGCTCACACGCCACAGCCACACCCCGATTTCTCACGCTGAGGTGTCAACCTGGGGTGCGTTTCCCGAAAGCATCGTTATCCAACTATGATCGCAATTTCCATTGAACTCTATTGGTAACGACGGAACTTGCGACCATAGTTGGCTTTGGGAAACGCACCCCTGGAGTTCAATGGAAATTGCGATCATAGTTGGATAACGATGCTTTCGGGAAACACACTCCTGGTCGGTCAAATGCCTGGAAGATGAGTTTATCTATATATCTACCTGTTGAGCCACTCGTGATGGACTAGTTATGCCGCAAATTAGTTAAAATCTCCCGTAATTTAGAGCGAGCGCGCACGCGAGACAGAGATTGTGCTCCAAACCACGTAGCGCGCGGACGGCAGAGAGGGAAAGCGAGCGAGAGACCTTGCGAGTGCAAGCCAAATGCAATCTAAATGCAAGCATGCTATAACCATAGTAACCATAGTAACTTTGATCTGCTTGAACACATTTTAATCGTCTTTAATACATGATTCCGAAGGATAGATTAAAAGACCTGGTCAATTTTTTTAATAAATACTAAATTATTAAAAAATAATAATAATTATCAATAAATTCAATTTTTTGAGATCCGGGAAAAACGCCGGATCTAGGCTAGTCTCAGTTTAATCTGCCGATCCGTCATGACTCGTCTAACTAAGCCTAGGTAAGCAGCCAAAAGCAATCTCTTTTCTTTTGTGTAGGGACGACCATCAAGCAAATCAAATGTGGGACGAGTTTGTGTGGGAGTGGGACAATGTGGGACATGTTACCAACACTAAAACATAACCTGAAACTGTTATATAATGTATATGTTATAACTAACTTAATAAAAACATTTGTATTCTGCCTTTCAGCTGAAAAAAAGGCTACTTTGTTCTTTAGTCCCTTCCAGAAAACACCATTACATCACAATGTAACATGTCTTTATTTTATGTCATTTAAATTCAACATCACTGACCCCAAAGTCAGCAGGCATCATGCAGATAACTATTTTTGAAACAGTTCTGACCAAGTCCAACAAAAATCCAACAAAATAAATATGAACAGATAAAATATAAAACAACATGAAATTAGCTCATTGACAGTCTTATAGGCCTTTTATTAAAAATATATTAAACCAAAAACTTTCATATTTAGAAAGGATGTGAATTAAAACACCACAGCAGGCAACAAGTTGATAAATTCTGTTAAATTAAAATTTTAATTGACCGAATTATCCATTTGTTTTCTGACAGGGAACAATAACCGTTCCACATTTTGATTGACAGCCGTCACAACCTACTAGTGACCGTGTTTACTCCTTTCTTTTCAACCATTGGATAGGATTTAAAAAAAAACGGCTGTTGTATTTCTGCTTCTGACGAAGCGTTAGGTGAAAAACTATGCCGCAAAAAGAATAAATAAAATGCTTTCTTAAAAAGGCAAAATGCACGTTTTCTTAAAATGATAATTACAAATTAACAGACTGATGAAAATGCGGGACTTTATCTCAGTATGCGACGTGCGGGACAAGGGGGGGAAATGCTGTGCGGTACAACGCAAAGCGGGACGGATGGTCACCCTAGTTTCGTGTTCAAGCTATATTTCATTATTTATAATGTGATCATATGCCTCTTTGGTTTTACAAATATAAAAGATAAGAAGGGGGTATTTTGTTTGACACATTAAGTGAACCCTGGACAGCTGGAGGCCAATATGACACTTGAACACAGGCAAAATATATATTAAAAAAAAAAGAAGAAAAAAAAGCCACGAATAGTTATTTTCTTTCTGACCAGAAGATGGCAGTGAATACATAAAGTTTAGAGTGAACACCATTTTCAAACCCAATGTGCTTTAGTACAAGGCCAAAACAGTAAAAAGTGTATCCTTATACTAAAATTTGCACTATATGTAAATCCGGAAGGCCTAACTTTAGGAAGTTAGTTCAATCATATTTCATAGGTATGTTCTTTTGTTTAAAAAAAAAAACATTTTAATAATGAATAATAAACATAAAAAGACTTGGAACGAAACTTGATGCTTATTCACATTAATACTTTATTCATATCAAGTCTTTTTTTTTTTTTTTTAAAGACATAACATTAAATACAGAAGGCACTTACAAAAATTTTTAAATTATAGAAACATATTAACATGGATTAAAAATAATCAGAAAAATAAGGATCAGAGATAGCGCCACATGGCAGCCTTGTACAGTACATCTCAAGTAAAATCTACAGAGCGCTAATCTAAGTACAGTAAAAAGAGGATTTATTGTTATTATTTTAATGCCCCTACTAGGTTTTCATACATAATTCAATCATTTAAAATACAGATAGCACATAACACCATTGTTTTTGTCACTAGTAAGTGGTTCTTGTTTTTGTTGCGATTTGTTTATTTTAAATGTTAGGCTTTGTGGTTTCTGCATCGAATGAGTAC